GAGAGACGGATAAGATATCCAGACATACCGGCGTTTTAATCAGTCCACAAACACAAGGAAATAAATTAAATTAGCGTTTTTTTACCAAAAATACGACAAGTAAGACTCTATTTAAGACAATATTTAAGGAAGGAAGGATTTTTATTTTTATTTTATTCTCCTTTCTTTTATTTTATTTCCTTAACAGGTGAGAGCACAAAACAGTAAAACTTAACCGACACAGTAAGAGTCTACTTCAAATTCTAACTATGACAAATAATCAATTAAAATAGCCGGTAATACAATCAAGCAGGAATAGGTGATTATCTAAGGTAAAGAAATAATTTACAGCTCAATTTTAACCATGACCAGACAAGATTTGCCAGAATAATTAATATATATAGCAACCTAATCAATTCGATTTACCAATTTACCTGCAAAATTGTCATCAAATCAACAAGTACCACAACACCAATTAAGGGCAGTTGGCAAATAATAAGGAGGTAACAAGTATCACGGTTTACCAAATTAGATTAAAAAAACTAACCTCTACTTTTAACAGAGGACAAGAGTAAGCAAATTAATGAACTCATCAAGCTAATCGAGTAGTAATTCAGTTTGGCGCAATCAATTTCACAACAGTAACACATGCCAAACTTTAGCAACAGGGTTATAACCACATATATGAACAGGAAGAGATAATCACATGAACTCAGAAGGATATACCTGGACAGATTCATAAGAATCTGTAATAAACCTTTTCAAAATTACCGAAGATAGTGACAAATTCTCTTGAAGTCATTTTATTTTTGTCTCGCCGCCTCTCGTTGCTGCTGCTGGTCGTTGTTTGCACCGGCCGAAGTTGTCCTCACTGGCGCTGCTGCTTGTTCTCCTCGTCAGCTGCTGTTGTTGTCGTCCGTCGCTGCTGGACGGAGCAGCTGTTGCTGCTGTTTTCTCGCCGAGCTGCTGCTGCTGCTTCGCTGGAGTTGCTGTAGACCGGAGCTGCTGCTGCTGCTGTCACCGGCTGAAGCTGCTGCTGCTGTCACCGGCTGAAGCTGCTGCTCGCTGGTTGTGGCTGCTACTGGTGCTGCTGGTCGCCGGACGGAGCTGCTGGTCGGAGCAGTTGTTGTTGCTGCTAGCTGAGAGAGGAGAGAACGGAGAAGAGGCGAGGGGAGAGATGGAGGCCAGCGGCTGCCTCTTGGTGGTGGCGATTTTCGCCGGAGACGGATGGGAAGGAGAGAGAGAGGCGGCTGCTAGAGAGGGAGAGAGGAGAGAAAAATTATTATGTTAGGGTTGGGTTCTTTTAGATATTAAAATAGGAAGGTTAAGAATATTTGATCTGAACCGTAGGATTAGTTTAGATGAGCGGCTAGGATTTAAACGGAATGAGATGGACGGTCAAGATTTAAAAGAGGGGTTTTAAATCAGATTTGATTGGATTTGGAATGGCCAAATTTGAAATAAAACTGGCTAGAATTGCAATGGGAGGATGGTTATTATTGAAATAAAATTGGAATTGATGTGGCTAAAATTGAAAGAAATTAGAAAAGAATAGGCTACAATTTAAACAATTTTGAGGAAAATTAAGAAAATGCTATTCAAGTAATAAAAAATACTACAAATATTAAAATATCTTCATATAATTGAACACATCTAAGATTTTAAAATATTTAAATAAAGTAATTATTTCGAGTTTAACTATCGATAAGTATAATAATAAAATAATTTAATATTTTTACTAAATCAAGCATACTAAATGTATAATTTTTAGATAAAATTGACTAAAATTTTAAACTTGAAATATATTTGTAAATACGTATTTAATCGAATAGCATTTCTGAAATTGGTTAGAGGTCGGTCAAAATTGGGTGTCAGCAAGGAGTATCTGATGATCAAATGGTCCTCTATGGGGAGGTAATGTAGTAGGAATTGCAAATATGCTAGCATACTGATCAATTAAGATAGACAACTCTGGTGATACAACCATGCCTTGATCAGCCTGAATATTGTGGCAACTGAGTACTTCACTACCCTTTTGTAGTAATGATATCATGAAGAACTGAGTGTCTTCCTCATCTATCTTGTTCAAGGCCCTTGCCTTAGTTGCCTTAAGCTGACTACTAGCACCTCTTAGCACATGTTTTTTTTGCCCTGATACATAAACTCAATGGTCCTATTGCTGAAGTCAAATAAAATTTTGCACAAGGTGTTCAACCACTGAACCCCCAATACAATATCAACATTTCCTAGAGGTAATAGC